TACCGTCCCCTCCGTACTCTCCCCTCCTCCTCCTGAAGAGCTGCGCTCTAATTCCGCATTACAGGGAGCTGTAAACGTCATGGACGACGGGACATTTTATATTAGAAACTGTGGTCTATTAAAAGCTGAATAATACACTATCAACTAAAAATAATTTTATGTTTAGTTGTTAGCCTATTATTTAACTTTTAATAGACCACAGTTTCTAACATAAAAACGTCCCGTCGTCCACGATCACTTACGTAAACGGTCGGTTGGTAATAATGAAGCAAAAAAGTAAGCAGCGAACTGTGAAAATAGTATATATTTTAAAATCACGAATAAAGTTTAAAATGGTATTATTTTATTGTGTTATCAAAACGGCATCACGCGAACTAATGAAAATGTTGAGACATTAAATTACAAAGCATTCTTCGATATTAGATCTTCAAGAACTTCCGTTTCGTTATGTTACACGTGAGGAATGTTATTAGGACTCAAACGTTTCCCATAAAGTCATGGCAGGTTGCATTTTGCGATGATACAGATGGCGACACGTGTTCAAGAATAGCTTGATTTGCAATTGTCGTCATGTGCCACTTGGAACGCAACCTGAGAAACAGAAATGGCACCACACGTGTTGGCGTCAGATGCCTGGATGCCTGCAGTGAGCTGGACTGACATGTGAAAACAACAAGCTCGATGCTCCGAGTACATCACAGCTGATTTTGCATGCCTATCACTATGCATCGGTATGCCCGAATGAAATTGGCACCGTCAAAGAGACTCAGGCGGATGCGATTCCTCCATGTTTGCAAAGTCAATTGTTTTCTTATCTATTGTTAAACTTATTTTCGAAATCAAACTATGGCTTGTGGAAACGCTACTATATTTTGTTTCGTAGCCGTCTTGGTATCTTTTAACCGGAAATAATATTTTAAAAAATCTGTGTCTGACACAAAGTGCTGTCCATACGAGTCTTCACTGGCGGGTTTTAATCCCGTCTGAGTGCCCGCACTCTGACGGAAACCTATGCGGAGGGCAAGTTCGTCTGCTTCTTGCGCAGAGGGTAGCGGTGACGTCAGAACGCCGAGCCCTGATTGGCTGATCGCGACCCCCTATCTGAGCGTCGTCTGCTCCTTTGCAACGTCGTCTGCTCGCAACGTCGTCTGCGTCTGTCTCACCTTTCCTGCGACTTTCGGAAGCGCAGAGGCCGATTCACGAAACGTTATTACGCCAAAAATGTGCGTGAGACAAAACTTAAAAACAAATTCGTATTCACGAAACAAAATTTTCGTAAGTTTTGCGCAGGTTACGACGAAATCCTACGGCAGCTCCTAAGCTGTCTTACGCACTTCTTACGATCAAATCAGCATGGCCGACAGCGTCGCGGTTGCGACGACCCACGGACGTTTATATTTCTACCTGCGCTTCTGACGCGTCCCGACTTCAACCAGCAAGAAAAAAATTAAGAAGTACTTGAAACAGACCACGACGAACAAGAACGCTGGATCCACAAACACCCGGGAAAAGCTGCAACGGCCACGATCCCACCGAACGCGACCAAAGGAGCTGGGCAGTTAAGCCTAGCAGGCACTCCGCGACTCGGCGACCGTCTGCCCATGACCGGCTGGCGTGCTGAATGGAATATGCCCGCGCGACCCTTGTGAACCCTTCCGGTATTATACTTTGATCGCTGACCTCAATTTTAGATTAAGAGGTCAATTTCTTCCTCTTGTTATCTCCTTGCTTCCCGAGGCGACGGTGACTCTCGCCGGTGAAAAAGCGGTGAATCTCCGACAGACGCAGGAAAGGTAAAGCAGCCATCGCTTTGACTAGCAGACGTAAAGCAGACGACGTTAACTGCGCCAACCCGCCGACGCCGTTAAAGAGTGAGGGGTCTCGCCGCACACGAATGGAGGGAAAAAGTATTTGGGAGGGAACTTGCGGACACTAACACGCTCGCTCTCGGTTCTAAGCAAAAAAACCTCGGCGCCCCGGGACACCTCGCCAGTGAGTCCTTTGACTTCCCTCCTTGATGCGCGTCTGCTAGTTGTTAGACAAAAACAACGTACCGCTCGAGTTATTTCGCTCCGAAAGTCGCAGGAAAGGCAAGACAGACGCAGACGATGCTGCGAGCAGACGACGTTGCAAAGGAGCAGACGACGCTCAGATAGGGGGTCGGGGTCAGCCAATCAGGGCTCGGTGTTCTGTGTTCACCACTACTTCCTTTCTCATGCGCAGAAGACGAAAATGAGAGCACTTACCAGGCGTATTGCTGAGAAGGCGCCCTGCAATCAAAATTTCGGTTGCACGACAAAACATCTCCAGTTAATCAAGAAAGTAAGACGCAGTTTTTTTGCTTGGGCGTGCGGGATATCCTTCGTTGGTTTGACCCACAGTGGAAGAAACATTCTTCCATCGTGGTTGGACCCAAAGTTTTGAATTTTGACTTCGTCTCACACTTTCACGGGAAACTTGTGGGCACTTGAGCATAGCAAAAACTACAAGAGTGGTGGTTCCGGGCCTGCCGAGCGGTGGCCATCAGTTCGTCGAACGACGTCTCGACGAAAGATTGTTTTGTATACTACGACGTTCTATCGACTGTTCGTTTCATTGAAAAGTTCCCGCTATCGTTTCATCGACGCACCTTACGACGTTTCGTCAGAGCGTCTGATCCGTACACATCGCCTCTATCGCCGGCATTCGGATGGGCCTATAGCTGGCCGAACCCTTGGCAGTTACGATGAACACTGGCGCAAGCTCGGGCCTGTGATTGTATTAAAGTTTCCCCGAGCGAAGTGAGGGGTTTCCGAGCTTAGCGTTGGAGTGTTAGGAGGCCCAGGATTAGGGCTTGCGAATTTATTTTTGCTCTATCGGAGCCGCCTGAGTGAGTTTGCTTTAGTCCCAGTATCCTTCCAGCAAACCAGCTTTAGTTCCAGTATCCTTCCAGCAAACAAAATGAAGCCAGTAATTCAAGCTAATTCACTTAGCAAAAAATGTTACGTTGTTGATGAAACGTCGAAATTGCATGTGTTATCAAAACAGTTTCGATAAAACATCCCTGTGTCGACGAAACGTGTGTCCGTAAAATATGTCAATGAAACGTGCGTTGAAACGTGTGTACATGAAAAGCTGTCATCGAAGCGTGTTTCGACGAAACAATATGGGCCCCTGCACGCCGAGTACACGCTTTTGTGCGGTAAAAGTGTTTTCAAGGCAGCATGCTAGCGCGTGTAGTTTTTGGCTTCGCTCACACTTATGGTGCAACGGAGCTTTGGACGTGATATATGAAACAAAAATGTTCCGGTGTACCTTTGTAAGCAGACGTCAGCTTCTGTAACATAACGCGACGTAAGCAGACAATACCGCGTGAACTGGCTTTACCGTGTTTCGCGTACCGTACCGCCGGAACCTTTGAAGAATGCTTTTAAGCACGCGCCCAATTGATATTGTCATCACTTCAAAGGCTCCGACAGTATGGTAATTGGAACACTTTAGGATTTGCTAAAAGCCTCTGTTATTTGACATTACGTATCCACCCCCTGATTATTCTTTTTACAAAGCTGGTTGGTCCGTACAAATCACCGAATATTGCTACAATCCTTAAACTCTCTGACAGCTATCAGTAACAAAAATAATAATTGATTGGTTGCAGTCATTTAAACTGTCCCCGCACCCAGTGCTAAATGCAATTTGAATTATTTAGTGGCGTGGGTAATTCTTTAACATTGAATTTATTTTTGTTATGTTTTAAGCACTAGACTTTTGTGAAAGTCCTACTACGTGTTTACCAAACTGAATATTTTAAACAGCTACGACTAATTTTGTTGCGTTTTCAAACCTCACGGTTAAAATAAAAACCCCAGCGCCCAAAATTGAGACATATCTGCCTAAAGGAAAACGGTTTATTTGTTTTTACTTCTTAAGGTATGTAGCTCCTCAAGCTAGCATCCCGGAATGTCACGTCTATTACGTCATCGCGTTTTTTTTTTTTTTTTTTGTACTTGTTTTGTGGAAATTTATAAAGCGCTAAACTATATGCACGACAAAACGTCCTACCAGTCATAGGAATCTGATCACGTTGCAATATGCGTAATTGAATTCCAAATTCCCTGGTTGGTAAATTCGAACCACCAATCTCAATTTTTCAACGTGCCAGTTCTATAGTCGCGCAGGTGCCTCGCCATTAGATTCCCTCTTTTCTTATTTTGTTCTTCTTTTTAATGGCAACAAACTTTGTCTGACTGACTGAGTGTCCCATTTGCCCGGGAACTGGCGCAGCCGCGCCGCGTTCCACAGAACGCTCGCGCATGGAAAAACAAGAGAACGGCCAGGGACCCAAGCAGCACACATGGTCCCCCGGATATCCTTATGATGTCCCGACGTTCCAAGGATGTGCTGTGGATTTGTATAGGACACCTGTGCTGCTAGGGGATGCCAATTTCAGGAGAAAACAAAAATACTGCACTCTATTGAAGCGCCACCACACACGATTTATTGCGCTCCTGCAAAGGTCTTGAAGACGATCTCATCGAGGTCTGTTGGTTCAGAGTCACACTAACCAAGGGTGGGGTCCCACCTTAATAACATCTGTCTTGTTAATAACTGAAGACTTAATTTACTTCATGTTGCATTATAACTAAATATTGTTGCGCATTTACTTTTTTGCTTATTCTTCATGCTAACTAGATTCAAAATCACCATGCGTAGATTAGCTGTGTTGTCAAGACCATTGTTTGAATATAAATGGGGCTTCTCAAGCGAAGCTTAAAAAAGAAACCGGTAGCTAATTAGGACCATTTTATTACCAACTTTCGTTACACTCGCGAAAAAAAAAAAAAAACGCTGCATCAAGGACTGCTACAGACTTTCCAGTTCTTCACCGGAGCTCCCTCCAAAACATACTTTTCAGGATGATTTCGCGTCGCTTCCCTCCCCAGATCGATGTACGCACTTTAACCGCTGCCCTAGCCGGAAAAGTCATCTGGCCTTTCTGTAAGACTTCCCTAACTTTTCCGTCAGATGGCGTGAGAAACTTGCTGCACAATGAAGGCCGCCACCACTCCGGCGAGCACGCTGAATAAGATGACGTTGAGGGCCAGACAGAGGTTTTCCATTTTGTCCTTACCTGGCGGAAGGGCTTTGCGCGGCAGCAATGGTCTCAGCAGCGGCGTGACCATGTTAGTGTTGCTCGATACAAGGCTCCTGCTCTCCTCACCGGCATTCTCAACGCTAGCAACGTCAGCGCTGGAGCGCGATTGAAAAGAACGGAGACTTGCCCCTTCGGCGGGCGTCCGGATGCAAACCTCGGTAGCCGCCTCTGGGCTACAAGCGAAGTACACCTTCTTCTTTTCCTGACCAAGGGACTGACTGGACTGTCCGTGCTGAATTGGCATTTGCTGAGCTTGTGAATAAGCTTGCTGGTAAGCCTGCTGTTGACGCTGTCGATGGAGAAACTGTTGGTAAGCCTCCTGGTAAGCAGCATACTCCTGCGCGGTTGGCTGGTGCTGAATCATTTGATGCATTGGATGCTGAGCCAGGTGTTGTGTTGGTTGCTGCATATGCTGCTGGATCGGATGCTGCATTGGCTCCTGCACTGGCTGATGAATTGGTTGTTGCAATGGCTGCTGCATTGACTGCTGAATCGGCTGCTGCTGGATGACTTCCTGAACAGGCTTCTGGTGTATCGGCGGATACTCAGCCGTTGGCAAGAGCGCGGCAGCAGGCTCGCCACCCTCTGCCTCGTTCAAGGACGCGGACGATGAAGACGATTCCGAGCTGGATTGTTCCTCCGAGCTCGTTGAAGACGAGGACGAACTCCCTGAAGCTTGTTTAGTGACCTCGGGTAACCTGACAGGTGCGGGAATTGGAGGTGATCCCCCGATTACCGACGATGGTAGCGGGGTGTCCGTACCGGTCTGAGCGTCTCGGACGTACACGTACATGCCAGAGGCGTCTTCTTGGGTCGCGGCCGCCGCAAACTTGGAGCTTGAGTCACCAGAGGACTTGACAATGCCGGTATCACCGCCCTCACGAAAGACGTCGTTGTGGCCAGTCTCCTGGACAACGTGCACAGCGTACTGCTGGCCCTGGTAGGGTAGGTCGTACGCCCAGCGCTGGTTTCCCGGATAACCGGTAGCGGCGGATGTCCACTGCTTGCGGTACTCGGCCTCATCATACGCAAGCTGCTGCTGTTGTTGCTGATGAAGCATGGCAGGCTCTCCTACAAACTGCTCATAGTACTTATTGTCGTGCCGTTTCGGTTTGAACGATGAAGAGCTTGACAGCTTGGCGAAGTAGTCGCCCTTTCTGTACAGCTGCGGGCTGTAGTAGGCATCCACCTGCTGAAGGGGCATCTCCTGCAGACAGATGGCACTTCGAGATGGGTATTGAAGTCCCTCTTGATCCTCCATCAGAAAAAAAGACTGCTTTGGAAGACTGCGGCTCATGCCGTGTGCCATAGAACTGCCCCTGTAGTCTCTGCGGATCTGTCGTCCGGTGTCACCCTTGGCCATAGCGGTTTCCATCGCGTAACCGATCGGATCCTCTCTGGGAAGCGTGGTCGTTCCCATGGACCTCGATATCTCCTTGGGCGCGTGACCGTAGCTCTTGGACTGAGGAGGATACGGACGAGGAAGAGACTCCTGAGGTCCTCCGCTTCCGTAGCCATCAGCGTCGTAATAAGCTTCGACATGGGCGCTCTGATTCTTGGTAGATGAGCGCTTCTTTTCACGGGTGCTAACTTCCGTAGGTATTGCGCCGGCCGAGAACGAGTACGGTTTTTCGTAGGCAGCTCGAATCGCAGTGGTGTCATGGGGGTCGCCAGGGCCGTGCTGGAAGACGTCCTCCTCGAGTGGGCGAGCCGACGGTGATGTTTCGGAGACAGAAGCGCCCTCGCGGTGATGGCCCTGGTTGCTTGCTGTCTGTCCGCCGCTGGCGCTGGTTCCGCCTCCTTGTTCGGTGGCCGAGTCCGGGTCACCGTACCGAACGCCAACATCCATGAGGGAGGCTCCCGGGGGTTACGCTTCCGCTGATGAGTTGTGGCCTAGGGTAGTAATCCCGGGAAAAACAGACAAATGTTCTGGCAGGTTCCGGCTTGACCAGAAACGAACTGCGCGTTCACAGGCTCGTGATACGCGATGCCAGGACGCCTAAGCAGGGCACGCGCTGGCGTCTTTTTCTTCGCTTGCATTTGTGGTCATGCAGCTTTGAAACGGGCCACAAAACGTTTTTGTCGACTTCGCTCGCGTGATGTAACCGCTGATGTCCCGTAATGTAACATACACTTATTTCGTATTTAGCTCAAAGCGGTAACTGTTACAGAAAACACCGAATGATATCGAGGAGCGTTAGTAAAGGTGCGCTAGAATGGGAAGTGTCACGTGTGACAATCCACCTTTTTAGAATATCACCGGTTCGAGATTTTTGGGCAAAGAACGTGCGTGCACACCACGAGCGCTCTCACGAGATCTCGCTTGAAAGGATGCCACGGTCGCTCGTGAATCCATGAAACACGTGTTTTCATGCCAGAAACTCTGGAACTATGATTTCTAAAAAGGTGGATAGGGGGCGTTGGTGGCCGAGTGGGCTAGCGTACACGAGCTCGGAGCACACGGAGCGAAAGCTCGCGCTGCAGAATCCAGGCATCCTGGGGGGCTATGTTGCGCCTTTTGCACTCCCAGGAGACTTGGAAGAGGGAAGTGACGTCAACGACACAGCAAGAGCAGATTGGATGTTGACAGAAGAAAACGAAATCAACACCCAATCTGCGTTTGCTGTGCCGTTGACGTCACTTCCCTCTCCCTAGTCTCCTGGGAGTGCAAAAAGCGCAACATAGCCCCCCAGGGCTCAATCCCCACCCCTTCCCGTTTCGATCTGGATGAGCATCGTACGGCCGTGCGGTCGTGTACCACTACTGCGTGGTGCACGTTAAAGACCCCAGGCTAGCGGTTGTACTGCACTGGCTAAATTGCTCATGTAAAGAGAGTGACTCGTCGCTACTTTGAAATGGCTAACCAACTACACGTTGTATAGATATCCACAATATCCCAACTATTATTAGAGAGTTTTAGTAGACCGTTTTCGCTTTCCCGCTCCGCTCTATGGAAAGCGGAGTCGCCATCGCGCATGCGCGACCCGCTCTGGGATTTGAGCGTGTAGCGTCAGCTCCGCTATCGTCGCCATTTTAAGAAGTACGTTCCACTCTCAGTAAAGGTGCAGTAGATGGTGCTTTTCTGGACAGCGGGTGCTCGCTATTTGAAATCATGCTTGGGAGCGCGCTTGACCGTTATGAACCTCGCTGCACTAAGAAGCTGCGCAGACTTTGCTTGAAAAGGCGTCCCCCAGAAAACGTTTCACGGTGGTCAAGAACCTCTGGCTGCTTCGAGAAATCGCTGGCCGCAATCCTTTCACGGCCCTTGAATGGTGGGAACAGGTGCTGCCTTGTCTAAGCCAGCGGGCTCGATTTTTCTATGCGAGATGACGACGACGACGTTGAGAGGATGACACACCGGGCGACGGCGGTGTCTCAATCTGAGCCCTGGGCCTCGGTTCCTCGGAGGCGGCAGCTTCTACGTCGGCTGGACTACCTTCTTGGAGCATGATTCTTTGACCCCAGTGGACCCCAGTGAGCAATAGCGCCCTTATGTTCCTGGTGCTCCTTCATGCACTGATCGAACGGCGTGGAAGATCCTCATAGCTCGCTGCTCACCCGCCCAACCCGCCTCCACGAAGTCTGGACTTCTACGAATCGGACTGCCAACCTCCCCAATACCAACAACCCATATCGTCGTCATCTTGAACGTATATACTCATCACATTATCATGTTCCCTAGATGCGGCACCGCGGGCCTCGGTGGTACGGGCTGCTGCTTTCCGCGGTGCCGCGGCTCTCCAGAGCCAAAAATTAAAGGTAAAAGACCAAAGACTAAAGCAGTCGGCAAACGGACAGATATTTTGTTTGGTTACTTCAGGCAGCAAGACAGTGAAAATTAGCGAAAGCGAGTGCTCCATTTATATCTCTACTTTTTTTCCCCAATGAAATGAGTCTGTTCTTCTTCGTATGCTTCGGTGTGTGATATGGTGCCTTGGTCTTTATGTACAATGCGCGACACTGTTAGCGGAAGCATTCAATATCCTGTTTTCATTTTTCACCTTAAATTCGAGGGGCTAACATTTGCCTATTGGTGTAGAATAAAGCGCTCGTTTGGGGCACCAATATGAGCGACAAATTTTCAGCTTTTTCAATAGCTGTCAAAGAAATAAAGTGCAAATAAAAGCGATTTTTTTTGTGTTCGTATTAACAGTGAAGCGCAGTGTATGTATCTGCCTTGGGGGGTGACATGAAACCATTTTGCTTGACTATACAATTCTTTTTATTTCTTTTGTGTGTTTATGAAAGTGCGTTTTTCAGCTTAAGCTCCTGCCTAGTTTCTGCCTCACTTGTGCTACGGTCTTTTCTTGCAATAGAAGGCCACGCAACATAGGCTACTATTACAATCCTGAATTCAACAGTAACAATGTAATTTGGTTAGATGCAATATTCACACGCACATCTGAAAAGCAAAATGGGAGTCATTAGTAAACGTCTTTTATTAAAATATTTCTAGATGCCTTTCAGCCCAGTTGGACAGGTATTTCGCTCAGTACAAAAGCTTGAATATGATTTACTGTGATAATTTTATGCATTCTAATATTAAACAAACAAAAAAATGCCCATGGTCTTTGTAGGTTTCGTTCAGCCGTCAAAATATGCCGTCTGCGCACATCACTGCCTGGAGCTTCACGACGAGCACCCTCTTGTGGTCTTCTTCTGATTTTTTTGATGGACGGCATATGGGCATGCTGTGCGGTCAACAAAACCCCAACAGTTGTTCAGGGGTGTTCCCTTGTCCTTGACGGCCTAATAAAAAAAACAAAGAAAAACACTCTTACAACACGGCAGTATTTAAACACTACCAAAACATGTGATATGGGACTTGTTACTCCTCTAAGATAAAGCGTATTTCCATTGTAGGGTTGTAAAAAACTAGGTATCGTAAATTTATATATATATATATATATATATATATATATATATATATATATATATATATATATATATATATATATATATATATATATATATATATATATATATATATATATATATATATATATATAGTTGTTCCTTAATTCTGCTAAGGTTTGAGGCCGTCAAACTGTGCATGCGAGGCCCGCTACGCCGAAATTCAAAACGAAACTTCTGAAAACTGTTCTAATCTACCACTATTGCTTAGAAGTCCAGGGTTGTGTTTGCTAAATTTTGCATTTTATGCCTGTCTGGTTTTCACCAGACAAAAAATTGACGTGGAATATTCTTTCGACCGTTATTGGTAACTCTTTTCAAAACACCACCGGGTAACATATTCGGCCGCCATATTTTGGGCATCGCTTTTAGTGCGAGACTTGTGACTAGAACCAATTTCATATTCAGTACTGACGCAGCATTCGTGTCTAATACATTTAGACTCGCATCCGTGACAAACAATGACGTAGCTCTCTTGCTCCCTAGACACTTGGCCAAAATAAGGCGGCCTCGAAGACTAGCGGCACCATGGGTTGCACTTTTAAAAAGGCTGCATTCAAGTTTCTATTATTTTCTAAATCTACCAAGGAAATCTAATGCAAACATTTCTTGAGGAAAGTTAAACAATTCAAAAGTTGCGAGCGAGTGTGAATAAATAAAACTGAGGGGGCATGGTTTCTTTGGTGCAGCTTGCGAGCGCTATGCTCGTGGTCAGCTTTCAGTGGCATTTTCGACAGGAGGGCGCATGCACAATATAATCGGCGTTCAAGCACGCGCACCCGTACATCTGACTGCATAGCCATAGGACGACCACAAAACGCGACGACTTTACCGACGCCGTGCTGGTTGCAAAGTGATACCTGTCACTTCGTTTGATTATGCTGTTTTGTGTTACATAGAACTCAAATCGAATGGTTTATTTTACGCGCGGGGCGTACGCTTTACTTCTTGATTCGACCTCTTTCAAGCTGAGGTCACGGTCAAAAACATCGACGCGTATTGAGTAAGTGCAGCCATCTTGAGATCTAAGCGATCAGGACGCTGAGGGCAGTCCGCTCTACAAGTTGGGAAGCGGAGCGCACGCTCACTCCGCTAACTATACGCTCCAACTCAGAGCGGGCCACGCATGCGCGGTGGAGACGATGCTTCTCGCAGAGCGTAAAGTAGAGCAAAGAGGGCTCATAAAAGTGGCCTAATAATACTCATAGATTACGAACGCGCTAGTCGTGACTTGTCCTGACACTGCCCATGTACACCTTTGGCGTATAGAAAAAAGTAACTTTTCACCAGACAGAGCAGCTGTGCTAGAAACAATGGAAACGTGAAATTTACACAAACCATGCAGGGTCTCACCTGTGAGCACAGCTCTAGTTTCGCCAAGGTCAACCAACTATGTTTGTTCATGTCAGCGAGTAGGTGGCCGAACCTCTCGTTGATGTGACCCACGATGAGGTTCACAGAATTGAAGAACACCGACAAGTTCCGTCCAAACGCTCATCCAAGTACGAACAGACGGTTGGGATAGGCCAGTCGAGGAAGAACCATGTAAAGCGTCTCGCCAGATTGGCAACACCCTGCGCCGATCTGTCGGGTGCTGGTATTTGGAGGCCCGCATGCAGAGCAGCCAGGTCCTTCTTATAGCTTCCTAAAGGGTTTCTTTTCTACGTTAGAAATATCCAGCAAACCGCGTTCGGAAAGGAAGCTTCGGCGCTTGATGGCACGAGGGATACGAATCATATATTCGATGTCTCGCCAGCTTAATCTCGTTAGTAGAAGTCTCCTTCCTTGAGAACAGCGGGGATTCATTGTGCAGATGCCTTGCTAGCCTTGAGCAACATCGTACTACGCAAAAGGATATACTCGCAATGCGCAAACTTCGTCCTTTTCTTTTATGTTTTTACTTCGAATAAGTAAATCTGTTTCAGTTTTAATTCG